AAGTGCATTTTTAAACGCGGTACATTTTAAGATTATTTTGCTAGAATAAATGAGTAGATATACTGATGATATATTTCATTGCATTACCGACGATCGATCATTGACAACGGTGTCAGCTTTGCAAAAGATGCAAACATAGATGTGTGCAAATTATTGTCACATTATTTATTATTACATTCACGTATATTGATTGATGGTTCTGCATAGGTGATTCACGATTCGTTTATCTTTTTATTTTGATTTAAAGGATACAAATGTGTTCCGTGCCATGTTGAAAACTAATGCAGTAAAGCAAAGGAAACTCAGTCCGTAAGGCTGAGAACCAAACAAAATTGACCACAAACAACAAAGAAACAGTAGCGATGGTAGCTGTATTCTACCACAAGTAAGTAGGTTTATCACTAGAAAGGTATTACAGAGACGGCACAAATTCAAAGGCTGTATATTTTGCAAGCAGTGATTACAACAACATAGACAATGATGGCAATCCCTCACCCAGTGTCACGAGAGTAAAATAAGACTCAACACAATGCGGGTCTTCTTGTAAGTTGAGATATAAAAATTACGATGCGAAGCATAAAATTGAAAGCTCCCTTACATACCAAGGAAAAGACTGACCAAGAAAATTCTCCTACTCCTAGATCAAAACATGGTGAACTTGTTCAAAATAGCCGATTGATCGCTAAAACCTGATAAAGCTCAGAATACGATTGAAGAAAAGGTTCATATTCTCATGTGGCTCATGTAACATTTTACACCTTTTTCCCATGTAAGCATCTAGGACGATGTCGTGGTAAACACCACCCAAACTGACCTTGACCTGTCCGTTGGTGCCATGTCCAAATTTTCTCTTGTGAGTGCTGGAGGTCAATTGCTGCAGACCAGTGCACAGCAGCACCCTCAGGGTGTCAAACCAGGTACTGTTGTCCAGGGCTCAGGCTGGGGAGACTCCAAATTCGAGAGATGCTTTCCCGCAGTGCTGGAGAATTAGGGGAAAAGGGCGACGAAACTAGAGGTATGTATGCATAGGGCTCGCTGTTGTCCAACTCATTTAGTCACGAGATATGGGCTTTGTCAGTTACTATATAAAATCGTGATCAAAATCGATGAAACCCTTTCCACGCCCACATGATTAACAGAGTGCAATTCAAATACGCACAAATTCACAGGTAGAACAAATTCAAAGTAGTACACCACAATCTGTTATTACATAGATTTTTAATTTAAAAGCCGCACTCCAGCAATATTCCAGCTATATTGCGGCTGTCTGTAAATATTAGAGTCACTGGTTGAACAGTAAAATGATCGTCAGCGATCAATTTACTCAATTAGGATACAATGCCGTATGTAGGTCAGTGACTCTGACCATCCGACAGCATGTGGATTGATAAAACCAGTTCTAACCCGGATCTTCACGGGTCTAGTACATCAAGGGCAGCTTATTGTCTTCTCTGGAGCTCAGAAGCAGATATGTTGTCACTGCTATAAAGCGTGAGAATCATTGAGCGTAATTACAGTGTGCCCCTTCCGTCTTGATTTTTTGCATACTGGGTTAAATTTATATAAGTGTTGGCTAACCAGAAGGTATTTGATCAGCAACATTCAAGACTTGTGTCCAAAGGATGCTCAAAGATCAGGCAGGGCAATCATGGAATGACATTTCCAAATTAGTCCATAGCGACAGTCATTTTGGCCTAAAACCGTTTTTCTGTTCTTTTGGAAGAATGTCACTGTTATGTTAATCAGCGCTCGGTATGTTACATGGCAGTAGTAGTAATTCTTAGGTTATATAAGCTTGCATCTGATGACTTCTACCCTGCAACGGGTGAAGGGCCAGGAATATCGCATGTGGCGGTTAAGACTACTGGGCCACGATCTCCCTCCTCATTTCCTGTATGGAGTGAAATAACTAATAAAATATATTTTGTGGGAGAAGAACTGATTCCCAAAATGAATCAACTTGACGTTTGTTGACTTAATGTGGCTTCGTAGAATGAAATCCCTGCATTATCTGTATCTTATTGCGCCGATTTATTATTCATTATGTATACATGCTGCAAAGCGCCATATTCAAAATGCCAACGACGGTCTTTTGTCTCAGTCGTTACTACCTGCCTACAAGAAGCCTCGAGACACAACCTCAAGTCCATCGCTTTCCCTGTTCTCGGGACGGGCTATGCTACAGCTACCCACCAGAGACGTCAACTAAGGCGATAATTAAGAAGGCAATCGTGGACTTTGGTACTCCGCAAAACATGCACTGGAAGTTGTCTCAATTGTTATTGCACTACAAAGGATGACATAATCTGAAGGTTTACATTTCCTTACTGTCCTCGCTTTCCTTAATGTAACCTGTAACGAAGGTCAAGGTGCGGTGATGGAGTAGACTCTGTGTCCGCCTTTATAAGGATATGAAGAGATTGAGTTGTTGGCGCTGTGTATAATAACTTAACGAATACATTCGTAAATAAGAGCGTTGTAATCTATTTATCTATATATGTATTCGAAATGATTTGAATATGACAAAGAAATAGATAAGCTGCAAATGCAACTTTGCCTTATTCGTGTTCATAGAAAGTTACGCAAATGCATGCTCAGTTAAGCTCAGTTTTACATTTTCTTAAGATATACTACAGGTATGCACGGTTCTGCTATTGCCTGTGTGTGTTCTATTAGCCAATGTTAAGCTACTACTCTCTCTGTGTTTGCTTTCTTCTCCAACATGGATGTTATATATTCAAAGACTGTATGGCATATGTTGGCTTGGCCAACAGAATGGTTTCAACGCTGTTCTGGACTTTTGAAGTGCCATACTATATGTTTGCCATGTGTGACGCAGGGCTGAAAGAGCGCGTCTGTGATAAGGCAAAGGAACTGCTCCCTTCCGTGAACTTACCATCTGAAAGTGATTCATCAACACATGTGTTTATGATTGGAACCATCGAGCTCGATGGCGTTATGTAACTTCTTTGTCACTTTTATTCGTCATATTTTTAAGATTTTGGAATCACAAGTTGGAAGAGACTGAACGGCTGATGAACATGGCCAAAGTATATTGTTAAAGGAGGTAAACTGAGACGCAGCTGTTTGAACTGTTAGAGCAATATTACGGCTAACCTAGAAACGTTATAAATATAACGAGTCGAATAAAACTATCCTCAATACAACATTGTTCCATGTATTAATCATCTGCATGCTTCTAGCATTTTCCCATCTTAGTGACATTTTGTAAAACCCTTTGTGTGGAAGTATACGACAGGGGCTCGATATTCATTTCACAATTATGTAAATAAGCCGTTGAACCGGCGAATATCCGGATAGCATTGTTCACCTGAAACCCGGCATGCTTGTCGTAGAGACGACTAACAGGTATGGGGGTGCTGGTCAGGCTTGCTGACTTAGTTGACACATGTCATCGTATCCCAATTGCGTAGATCGGTATGTGGTATGCGCTGGATTGTCTGGTCAGACTCGATTATTTACAGCCCGTATGGCTGGAATATTGCTGGAGTGTGTGGCGTTAAACAACAAACTAATAACACCCTTTGACATTATTTCATATCCTGCAGATGGATCCCGAGGTTGCAGTGACTGGAGATACCCATGTTGTGGCGGGTCATGTGGTCAGTCAGAAGGTAACGACTCCCCTAAGTCTGTTGTTTTCATGTGGCAAGTGAGGACTGGGCGGCAGTGTTTGCTCTCACATGACGAGGGCTGGTTGCGTCACGCCAGACGTATTAAAATGCACCGATCATGGCTCGTATTTAGAGACAAAGTTGTGTTTTAATGGAGTTGGGCCGTGTTTTACAATTTTATCTAATGAGTAGAGACGGACATATGCATCACTCATCTGGCACCAAAGAGACTTAGGTTTAGTCATAGTAAAGAGATAGCCCCATAGCCAGGTGGGCTGGGTGTTCTGTCGTAGAGTTAACACTTCAGAGTATTCAAGATACCAGCACGTTAGCAGGCTGGTTGGATGTACCTCATTCAGAGTTTCGTCCTATCTAGGATCTCGTCCAGTGCGGCATCTTACGTCCTGGAAAAGCAAGCGCGAGGAGGTGGAAATGAAATTGAAACATTTTGAGGCTGGACAGGAACCTCCCCTTCAACATGACGCCAAGAAACTACCACTTTAGGCTGGTGGAATCCTCAGTTCTATAATTTACCTCATGGGGAAGGACGCTGTCAATCGAATAATAGGGTGAAATACCCAAAAGTTCAGCCATGCTGGCTTGCAAAACAATCTCATATTATTTATCAATCAGAGGAAAGACGGAATCTGGTTGTTTTGGTGGCAATGATAGGAATCGCAAGCCAAAGTAGACCAAATGTGGCGTATTTTAGCGGCGACTGCTTAAGAAAGACAGAAATAATACCATTATTGGAAATGAATGAGAAAAAATGCATTGTTAAATCATGTTAAGGAATTTATGAAGAGATTATCGAAAGCTATGTCAACACAAGACCCCTTCACAGAAGAAGCCTAAACTGCTCATGCTAGCTGGGAGTCCAACTGTCACATGTGAGGTTACACCTCCCCTGTTGAAGGTAAATTACCGTTTCGGCTTCGCGTGATGAGTATGCTGGACTATTTTTATCATGGAGGAGGCAGTTACGCGCAGGAGATTGCCAGGATCGATTCCCCACTTGTTACCGGGTGTTAACATTTTGGAGTAACATTATTAGCACTTGCAGGCTCTTTCCAGGGATGTCACATCCCCTGGTATTACTAATACGCCAAAACAACACTCATTCGACAGTAGGTGGTCAGATTTTTAAATATTTTTTTATTTTTGATTCTCTCATACATCCAGGTCATACCACGGTTTCATTACATGACGGGTTGAAATTGCAAACACTTGTACCAAAAAGAAATATATACAAAGTCGAGTTTACAGACCAGTAAGAATAGGTACTTGAAAATGTAATGGCAATTACATTATATATAGCGCTAGGAGTTAACAAGGAGGCGGTTGTGACATAGTGACCAAAATTTTTGGCCGGCTATCATATTTGCGAATTTGAATAGAGCGACTTTAAAGGCGTTTCAGCATAATATATTTGTCTTTAGCACTTCCATAATGTAGTTTCAAATTTTGGTGTGTTTATCTCTTTGTTTCATTTTGTATATATTATATTTCACTTACTGTTATTATCGCGAGGAACTGAGCATTGGTTCCTCTTTTTGCAATATCCTAGAATAAGCCTTTTTCTTGAAAGATAATGGCTGACCCTGTTTTTTTTTTCGATATAGTATTCTTCTATTTTCTTCAAATAGTTTTTATGACTTTACAGTCACAAAATAGATGTAGAACTGATTCTTTCTCGGATCTCTGCAAAGATGTTCATGTGTTGGAATCTTTATATTTCATTTTTGTTAGCAAATCATTTGTTTGCAGAAAACCCCATACAGTATGCGGTATTGAAACCACTAGTGTTTTACACTATTATATGATTTAAATGTTGTTGTTTTTTCTATCGTTTCCCCATATATACTGTATATTATCGTCAATAGACCCATTAAGTTCTTTTGTCACTTGTTTCCGATATGTTAAAGGTTTTCTATATTTACCATTTATGAGTATGTCATAGATATCTCTACATCCTTTTGGGTTTCCTACTATATTTCGTAAAAAGATAGGGCAAGATCGGGGCTTGGATGTTTTCTTCAATATGGATGTTTATGGATTTGTAGTAGCATTTTAATTGATTCCACTATTCCTTGACGCTCCTAAAAAGTTAGTTTGCACCCAAAGATTTTTTTTAATTGTTCCACTGTTAAAAAAAGTTACCTTGGGCGTCAAACATGTCGTTTATATAAGTGATCCCTTTGCTTGAATAATGTTTATAATTGATTGGTTTTTCCATCTATTTTAATATTGTCATTTTAACCATAAGGGTTGGGATAAATATCACACGCATTTTTTGCTTTTTCTGCTTTTCTGGTTATGAATTTACCCCATGATTTGAAAGTGTCTTTCCAAAAATTATTTGTTTCTTGAGTTATTACTAATTCAGAGTATGTGTGTTTTGTGCATGTTTGTATAAAGCTGTCGATGTCCCAATGTGTCTTCGTTTGTAGCAATTTCCTTTCTTTTGAATCTGAGTAGGTGGAGTCTTTTTAATCCATGATATTTTTGTGATTGAATAAGATTGTTTATCTCTGGGTTCGTATTTCCTCCGTATTCATAATTCTCTGTGATAGTTTCTCGACTGACTTTGTCTGGTTTGTTTTTCCATATAAATTTAATAGCAGAGTTGCTCAATTTCCTTAATCATTTGATCGTTTTGGGTTGGGTAGAGTTACAAATAAATGATTAAGTTGCGGATAAAAGTAAACTTTTCAATATAGGGTATTTCTACCTAAAGGGAGTTAAGATCTCTTGCTAGCCATTGATTCATTGATATTTTGAGAGTCTTAAGTTTATCTTTATAAAGCTGCGTTCAACCATGTTGCGATGTTGTGAGTAAATACAATTTATACAGGTGTAAACGAAGTCACTCTTCCAGTCAAAATTCCAGTTTCTGCAAAATTTTCTTTTAGAGTTTTTTTTTTCTGAGCCTATCCATAATACCTGTGTTTTGTTTACATTTATTTTAAGCCTGAAAAATGAGATATATTTTTCAAAATTTCTAATGTCGCCTGTGAACATTTTTTCAGTGCCATTTTAGTATCAGCCAAAGTATCATCAGCGTGGGAAATTAGGTATTCTGTATCTCCAATTTGAATTCCTTTTATTTAATTCATTATTTCTAATCATTGTTGCCAAAATTTCTGCGCACAGGTATAAAATATAGGGGAGATGGGATCTCCTTGTCTGCATCCTCTTGAGATATTGAAATAATTTGAAAGGGAAACCATTTACAACAACACATGATTGAATGTTATTAAAGAAGGTTTTATCCATCTAGTAATCGATGGTCCAAAGTTAAAGAATAGGAGAACTTCTTGAATGAAATGCCAGTCAACAGAATCAGAATGCCTTTTCAAAGAGACAATAAGAAGTAGAATTCCTGGTATATTCATATATTCAGTATAGTCACTGATGTCATATATTAGGCGAAATTACACTCACCAATATATCTTTTCACATAAACCCTTTTTGATCCCTCATTCATTATAGAGGGTAGGACTGTCTTTATTCTGTTTGCAATGGTTGATGATCCAATTTTATACGCTACATTCAGCAATGAAATGGGTCTCCAATTCTGAAGCAAATGTTTGGATTACCTTTGTTTTTGGAAAACAGGTTATAATGCCTTGCTTTTGAGTCAAAGACAATTCTCCTTTCTCGTAAGCTAAATTTAATGATCTTATAAGATACTCAGGAATATTATTGAATATTTGGGACGTCTATGTTTTAAGCAATCCTGTTAGGTTCCACTTTTTCGCATGTTTTTTCGGGTATAGGTTATGGTAAAACGATTTAGTTTCAGTGATAAGATCTTCTTTTTGGTTAGGGTTTCCTTTGATTGTTTTCAAGTTTATATATATTGCTTTGTTTAAAAAGTTTCGATTTTCTAGAGACAGAAAATATTTTGTCGGTTTTTCTCCTTCTTTCCATTTAGCTTTAGATCGTAGTGGTATCCCTTTTTTATTAATAGTGTCTAATTCTCTATTTGCTTTTTTTAATTCATCATGTAGCTTTGTTTTGGAAGCAGTATCATGTGATGAATCTATTTTTATTTCAAGTTGATCTATGTTGTTTTCAAGCGTTTGGCGCATATTCAAATTTTCTTTCTTTTATAGGAAGAATAATTTATTATTGTGTCCCTCTGATTATTAACAATAGCGTTTCAAAGAATAGCTGATCGTTTACTTTGAAGACATATTTCCCTGTTTCGTCTACTTAAGATTTGTATTGATCTTTGATTTCATTTATCAGTATTTTGGTTTTTTCCCACATATGTTTTATCATAGAGTAAAGAATTGTTGAATTTCCAGTAGCTTTTGCCTCTTTCTATCTCACTGATCATTAGATTAATCCAAATTATTGAATGGTCAGACCTATATGCTGCGCCAATGTCAGACCTATATGCTGCGCCAATATCGGTATCGTGAATTAAACTTTCGAGGTTTTTGGAAACGATAAAGTAGTCTAGTCTTGCCTGTTTGACGGGGGTTTTCTGTCTCCATGTGTATCTCTTGCTATCTAGGTTTTGTTCTCTCCATGGGTCTATTAGATCATTTTCTTCCATAAATTCTAACCAGGTTTCTCTAGCTTTTGCATTATTAACGTTTTTATAGTTGAAATAATTCATTTTTATATCTTGTACAAAGTTCCAATATATAAGGTGAAAGTAGAGAGGGAGAGCTAACAAAAAGTAGCATTATAAGGCAGAGTGTTACCTTCATTTGATTGTTGAGAATCCGGTACATGTGTTATCCTGCCGTGGTTTAGGTAGAGGCATGGCCGTATGGTGTAATTCAGTTGTCTTAAGGTTAGTGTTTAGGTAGAGGCGTGGCCGTATGGTGTAATTCAGTTGTCTTAGGGTTAGTGTTTAGGTAGAGGCGTGGCCGTATGGTGTAATTCAGTTGTCTTAAGGTTAGTGTTTAGGTAGAGGCGTGGCCGTATGGTGTAATTCAGTTGTCTTAAGGTTAGTGTTTAGGTGGAGGCGTGGCCGTATGGTGTAATTCAGTTGTCCTAGGGTTGATGTTTAGGTAGAGGCGTGGCCGTATGGTGTAATTCAGTTGTCCTAGGGTTAGTGTTTAGGTAGAGGCATGGCCGTATGGTGTAATTCAGTTGTCCTAGGGTTAGTGTTTAGTTAGAGGCGTGGCCGTATGGTGTAATTCAGTTGTCCTAGGGTTAGTGTTTAGGTAGAGGCATGGCCGTATGGTGTAATTCAGTTGTCCTAGGGTTAGTGTTTAGGTAGAGGCATGGCCGTATGGTGTAATTCAGTTGTCCTAGGGTTAGTGTTTAGGTAGAGGCATGGCCGTATGGTGTAATTCAGTTGTCTTAAGGTTAGTGTTTAGGTAGAGGCGTGGCCGTATGGTGTAATTCAGTTGTCTTAAGGTTAGTGTTTAGGTAGAGGCGTGGCCGCATGGTGTGATTCAGTTGTCTTAAGGTTAGTGTTTAGGTAGAGGCGTGGCCGTATGGTGTAATTCAGTTGTCCTAGGGTTAGTGTTTAGGTAGAGGCATGGCCATATGGTGTAATTCAGTTGTCCTAGGGTTGAGTGTTTAGGTGGAGGCATGGCCGTATGGTGTAATTCAGTTGTCCTAGGGTTAGTGTTTAGGTAGAGGCATGGCCGTATGGTGTAATTCAGTTGTCCTAGGGTTAGTGTTTAGGTAGAGGCGTGGCCGTATGGTGTAATTCAGTTGTCTTAAGGTTAGTGTTTAGGTGGAGGCGTGGCCGTATGGTGTAATTCAGTTGTCCTAGGGTTAGTGTTTAGGTAGAGGCGTGGTCGTATGGTGTAATTCAGTTGTCCTAGGGTTAGTGTTTAGGTAGAGGCATGGCCGTATGGTGTAATTCAGTTGTCCTAGGGTTAGTGTTTAGGTAGAGGCATGGCCGTATGGTGTAATTCAGTTGTCCTAGGGTTAGTGTTTAGGTAGAGGCGTGGCCGTATGGTGTAATTCAGTTGTCCTAGGGTTAGTGTTTAGGTGGAGGCATGGTCGTATGGTGTAATTCAGTTGTCCTGGGGTTAGTGTTTAGCGAGGGTTACACGCTAGAGTCGTGGCATGCGCCTGGTGCACGATGCAGTTGGCTTGTTCGTTTCAGCGTGGTCTTTGTTAATACATGTAACGTTGATATTGTGATTTTTGGCCGCTTAGCCTGTGATATTATATTTAGTCTTGAGTAGTAGTAACTATCTCTTCTTTATCTTTAAAATGAAGTTTTGTAAGTTATTTATGATCCATTATTAATTTTATGAGGTATGTTTACCTTTTGGTCATTCTTGTTGCTAATATTATTCAGCGAGTCAGTTATATTGTGGCTACAGGTTCTCGTTGTTGTTTGTTGATTATATATTTTTGTTAGGTAGTGTGGTTATTGACTAGTGAATATCGTTTGGCAGTATAGATAAAATAGGTAATATAGTTTATTGTTAACATTGTTATGCTTATGCAAAACCGTGCATCAATGATGGTAGTGAATTTGGTTTATAAATGTATATATAAAACGTGATGTTTTGTACATAGCATAAAATCATCAGTATGTCATAGTTCATATCTAAACATGCTGATTATCAGTAAAAGGTGGACATGTGGGAACATTTGATTGGCATATTCAGGAGACAGATGCATGAACAAAGTTTGCAAAAGGCAGTAGTTTTCTCTGTATCCCTTGATTCATATATACAGATATACAGGCATGTGATGTTTTGATCATAGCATCAAATTATCAGTATGCCATGCTTCATATGTAAAACATGTTTGTTGTCAGCAGAAAGGTGGATATACAAACATTTGAACAGTGCAGTAGCATAGGTGTAACATTTGTAGTGGACCAATAGTTTTACATAGATTCAAAACATGAATCAGATGGTCAGGTGGTCAGATGGTATACACACGAACACGTGCATACACCTAGTTGTGGGTATAGTAACGTGCAGTATCTTTGGACAAAATACTGCAATGGGTACTTTTCTGAGGATCAGACGGTGATAACTCGCTGCACTTAACAGGCGGCATGACTTGAATGATCCCCACGGAGTTGAGTTGGTAAAAACAATACAAAAAGACATCCGTTGATAAAGGGAACACTTTAAGCGCATTGAGCATGTACTACATTTGTAGATGCATGTATATGTGCGCTATATAAATATCCCACTATCATATTTTTATGACTTTGGGGTTTCGTTAATGCCAACGCCTAAACCTAAGGGCAAGGATGGCAAAAGAATGAAACTCGCAGATTCCAAGACGAGGTCATGATCATGTGACACGCTGCGCGTGATAGTTATGTTTCACGCTTATTCACGCCACTTTATGGCCTGATTTTTCACCATAAATTCAACTTCACGCTTTAATGATCAATTAAAAACAATTTTGCCGGATTATGAGAAAACCGGATTACACAGAGTCGGATTTGAAAGATTCCACTGTATAATTTACGATTATTTTCCTTCAGGCATATTTTTTCAACTCACCAAAGTGGAATACGTCGTGAACCCCGTGCAGGTGAAAATGTTCAGGTGAGCCGATGATAAGCATTGTTAGTTCTTTTTGTCGTTCTTAGCAATATTCCATTATGTGTCGGAGGTTTGTAAATACTCGAGTCTGGACTAGACAACCCAGTGATTATGATCGCAATTGTAATACTATGAGACGTGTCAACCAAGTCCGCGAGCCTGACCACCCCATTCCATTAGTCGCATCTTTTAACAAGTATGGGTTACTACTTACTTCTACAAATACCATCAGTAGTAGTATCATTCCACAGTTATATTGGATTAATGCACTGGTACATACACGTGCTTATATGAATCAGTGGGACAAAACCTTTTTCCTATTCATATGACATTTCTGTCAAAACAGGAGTCGATGGTACAATTCCGACCATTTTTTAAACATGCATCCCTCGATCACCTTCAAATCCTGGTAATACCAGTCCTTCGCGAAAAGGTGGGCGTTTCCTGTCCCATCGGCGACGCGTGTCACAAACACACGCAATAGCATGTTCAATTGCTCTACTGAGAAAGCACGAGAGCACATGGCACATAGACAGTTATGTACACGTGCACTGTGTATTAGTGCAACAAAATAAACAGAAATAAAATTTAAGATTTGAATCGGACATCACTTCAGTCAGGGATGCGTCAAATTTACAAAATGTCTTCATACATCCACCATGAATGTTGTAACCTGGATATAACAACATGTGAGCAAGAGCTGAAGTTTGTAAATATTTGTAGTAAGAGAATGATCGATTTACATCGTGTATATACAATATGTCATATGTGCAGGGCGGCCCAGGAGAGAATGTCCCTTAAAGACGCTTCATACGGCCTTCCTGTTCTGTGTTTTCATGGGACGTCTGAGGACAACATAAAGAGTATTTGTAAGGAAGGATTCCGTCAGCCTGGTAGGTACTATTGTCTGTTTCTCCTAAACTGATACTGGCTGCCTGATCAATGTGTTCATGTCTGTTGATATATCACAGTATATAAATGTCCACGTGTCTTAGAATTTTATATAGTCCAAATAGTTTTTATATTTTCATATACTGGAGAAGAAAAATAGATTGTCACAGACTGCAATTCACATTCTTTTCTAACTTTTACTATACATCCATTGTTCAATAAAAATAGTGAAAATACTCTGTACACCTACATATGCCTTATCATTTGACTAATTATAGAATAGTTAAATAACAGAAAATATGAACAGCATATACCTACAATTAAATTGATTGTTATCACTGGGTTTGTTTTAATTTGCGACAACTGCCGATATCATAAATTAGGAACTAGATTATATAGTGCTTGGTTATTCAGTTGTTCAATACTACATTTTATCGAAAACTATTACTGGACACCCTCTTGAACCAGACCACCCCTACTTCGACGAGACAACTGACGTGGGTTGGTACGGGAACGGTATCTACTTCAGTGAATACCCTCGGTTTGCGATGAATTACATGAAGAAGACCAGCAAGTTAATCATGTGCCAAGTCCTGAAGGGGAAGGTAAAGTGTCATACAAGTATCACACAGCGCGACTCAGCGCAGGTCTACCATTGCATGCATGAGTCAAAACGTACATTGATTATTTATCAGAAACGTATAATCAGCATGCCACCTAGATGTAAACAATACGACTTCAGAACAGAGACTTATCAGTTTAATACATTAAGCCTAGACACCCCATATTCACATGGAAATTATACAGCAACGGCCATATTTTCTCAGACTGAACAAATCTAATGAACTGGTGCATAAAATGTGTCAATGATTTTCATACCATATGAACTTTGTAGTGAAAAGAAAGGGTTGAGGAGGAACATAGCCAAGGTTGCCATGACATAATCTGGTTTATTTAAATATGGTACAGATTTGGCAAATGAAGTCATTCATGGAACAACATAACAAAGTTCACTTTTCTTACGAAGACCTAACTGTCAGTACAGTACACACAACTTCTTCATGGAATTGAAGAATAATGTCTTGTAGGTCCAAATACTGATTCTGAGGAATCCTGTTCCATTCGTCATGCAAGGGTCATGCAAGGCAGCTGTCGATTCATTGAGAGTCTGGAGAATCTGGTCTCTCCGTCGAACACGACAGCATAAATGTCCCAAAATGTCCCACAGACGCTCAGTGGGATTTAGATCTGGACTGATGACTGGTCATGGAATGGTCTCAACAGTATTCCTTGGCAAGAACTGGGTGGCAGCACGTGCTCTGTGAGGCCTGGCATTGTGGCTAGAGGATGGCTATGAAAACGTGGGACAACATCCCTCTCAAGGATCTCCTTTTGATACCGAAGCCTATTAAGGTTACCACGAATGGTGATGAGGTCCATCTTGACACCCAAGGAAATGTATCCCCATACCATGATACCCACAGGAAACCGTCTCCTGGATGTTGCAGGGAACCATAGCTGTGTTCCATTGTCCCCAACCGTGTGTACGACCAGGAACCATAGTCGGCATCAGAAGTACAAATGTACAGATAATGGCGGGATGGTTTACATGGAAGGTTGTACAGTTTTTATGGTGGTGTTATGGTGCAATATTCCAGCGAACACGTTGAATACTCCAGGCAAGCGGTGCTGCTTTGTGAACAGGAGACAGTTGCATGCGCTTGATGGGCCTTCTGGACCTCTGTACTGACTTTCCGATTACTGACGGTCCTGTAGGAAATGACACTCATTGGTAACCATCGTTACCTTAACGATGTGCTTGAGCCCCATGAACAGCGAGTAACAAGTTTCAACAATGCTGTACAATGTTTCAACAGTTGTTGTCTTGCGGGGTCTGCCAGGTCTTGGAAGATCTTCAACACCATTGGTAAACGTGTCTTAAAATGATGGAAGGATTGCGCCCAACATTATGTTTAATTTGTCTGAGGGACATTCCTGCATTTCTTATGCCAATACTGTGTCACTTGTAAAACACCGGATGTGAACTCCCTGAATATGAAATTCCAACTCATAAAGAAAGTCACTACAAGAAATTGACCAGTCCGAAGTCTTCTTTAGACTTAATTATATATTCATCCACTCCAGTCAAGCAAAGATTAATTACTATGTCGCATTTACATACACACTTATGTGGTCCTAGAAATTGCCCACAACCATTCTTAAAACGTGTTATGAAATTGTAGGTTGTAAATAAGAACAAGTATATAAAAACAACAACTTGATATTTCAGACCTTCAAGTGTTCGAAGTTAAAACTTGGAGCCCCAAAGAGCCTGGATACGACTGTCATGTAGACCCGTATGACAAAGGAAATTGTGATATACGAGGGAGGACTGCATTCTTCCTTGCTATATTTTGCATTTCGACATCTGCAAGAGATTCAAGTTCAAAGAAGACAAAGGAATCCGCTAACGACAACGACGACACTGCCCTCGAGTACCTGAACGAAATGGAAATGCACAAAGGAGAGGCAGTTCCCTGGCTTCTGAACACAAGTGGTGGTGTCGATCATGTAGATTGGATCTCTGTTGTTGCAGGCGAGGCGAACTAAACTCTTAACGATATTGCTAACTAAACTGGCTTGCAAACTGTCTGATATTGTATTATCTTTGACTATATAATGTAGTGCTAATAGGCATTCGCATAATGAATACATTTTGCTGGACACATGTGAATAAATGTTTAGCAATAAATATTTATGAATTGCGACACTTTAATGGACAGGACTACTTCCATTATTGACATGAAATATTATGGATTGTGATGTCTTATGTGTGTCATCAACCCACAGAATGCTCAGAGGTTTCTCTTTATCAACAAATATATAGTTCGAATTTGAAACAAAATTATGTGAAAAAGGTTCAAAGATGTCAGATACTAATGTATTAGAACCATATGGTGATGTAGCCTAGAGACTTTTAGTCACTGACTGATTCAAAGTCCCCTGTTAGTAGTTCAAAACACGAAGGTTGAGGGATATAATTCTGACCTCCATTCATCACAACCAGTTAAGGGCAGGGTTCTCAGTAAAAGTTTAGGTTGAAAGAAAACATATTTGCAAACAACGTTTTGAGAGGAAAATGTTGATCAAACTTTTATTTTGACAATTCTATGGCCCTTGTGTAATACACATGTTGATTAAGTTGTTCACTTAACATTGTACAGATACATATACTTATGTATATTACTTCTTCATTATTTGGACAGTGGGGACAGATTCTGCTGGGAATCAGTGCAGTTGACACACTATATATAATATTATTTATCAACTTTGAAAAAAGACATCGACAATTGTAATTTTGATATTTTACAAAGGTATTGTCCTCGTTTAATTTTCTTTTCTAGTTGCACAAATGAAGGATGTATTCATTTCATCTGCAAAAGAGTATAATATATATCCTTGAAAGATCATTTGTTTACAACTGAATCTTGCAATGGCGACAAAGTGTATGGATCACGTCATCTTTTTGTTGGTTTGAATTCCTATTGTAGATTTTTAAAATTACTTTCGTATTTTGATTACAGTATACACTATTAATGATTGCACTATTGTACAGCATGCTCTCTTTTTGATGCTTATACGGACACCAGTCTATTAGAGAAACGATGTGTTCTTTTAGAAATTAACGTTTGAACTATTATTTGATACCTTATAGACTTGTGCTAGTCTATCTATCTATCTATCTATATATATATACACACACACACACACACACACACACACACACACATACAAAGAACTTAATTAAGCACCTTCTGTATTTTCGTAATGATAGGTTTTCAACACCCACCTAAAACATCTCGTGGTGATCATGATGGTGTTTTTTTCTCATCCGTATGATCCTTTGACTCGTAAAAAACTACAAAATGATTGGAATCCATGTTGACTTTATAATGATAATTGCTCATTTACACACAAAAATACCCACTGATTTTCATACAAACCATTTCTGTACAGGTATGGCCCTGGAATGTTAAATGTTGAATTTATTGGTGAATGTGAACATTCAAAATGTCATTTTGCGTTTATTACACGATTCAAGCTCAATACCGAGTCTAACCTCCATGTGACTGTATGACAGCCAGTACTCTCCTCCTCATATCCCCCGTCAGCCCCTGGTCCTCTGAAGGTCCTAGTGTAAAGCAGCTTCCAATTGGGCCAGTTTCTATACAGGAGGATCCCTTTGCTGCACACAACAACCTATCATGTCCTAGATGTGCTTCAAAGGGTTAAGATCGGGACTCACTCAATCGTGAGATACGTAACGGGTGCTTAACTTTCTTTGTGTATAGTATTACAGCTTGCTCTCTTTTTATACTTATGTATTTTTAGGTTGTTTTTTTTGTTATTATTGTCTTGAACATATTTTATTCAGTATTGAAAGGGATTAAGTTATCCAACTTATTTAAGCCCTCTCCCGACAGTTACATGGGAAATGTACATGCAGTCGACAATTAACAGAGGTAAGACATATTACACATTATTGAAACGCTTACTGGGGCGGTGGGGTAGCCTAGTGGTTAAAGCGTTGGCTCGTCACGCCGAAGATCCAGGCTTGATTCCCCACATGGGTACAATATGTGAAGCCCATTTCTGGTGTCCCCAGCAGTGATATTGCTGACAAATTGCTAAAACTAAACTCAGTCAGTCAGTCAGTAAAACTACTACTACGTACAATGAATTTATGGACTTGACTAAAAATATTTTCATTTATAGTTTGTGTAAGAACATTTTAAAAAGAAATGATTGGCATCTTCCAACCGAGCACCACAAAGGCAAGCTTTACTTTCAGATAAATTGACACGTAAAAGATCAGCATTTAAAGAACTACATGAATGTCTTAACTTAGTGTGTAGAATATTAATCTTCCTTTCACCAACTAGGAAAAATTTAGGAATTTTATCAAATTTCTTTTTCGAGATAATTTAAATTTAAGTGATGGTAATGAATTGGTACATGTTATTGTGGATGAGAGATTATTCAATTAATAAGCACAATCATAGATAAATGACTTTTGAAGAACTGTTGTTCGAAACCTTTTCGTTTCCCTTAAATCAGTTGAAGTGAATTATCTGTCTGACCTTTACTGAATCATATTAGATCATCCATATACGTTACTCGTAAACCAGGGAATGGAGGCTCTCCTTTATTTCAAGTCGGACGTGGTGATCAAAATATTGGGACAGAACTGAGTACTTCTAATTGGAACTATGCAAGTGTATTTTGTGAAACCACGTGGTATTGTTTCCATGTGTCTCAGTGGCGTCTGTGAATGACAGGAATGTTATTTTGTATGGAGGTTGTGAAAAGTGGAAAGAAGAACGTTTTGATTGGATTGAACATGATTGTTAGATTCAAAGGAATCGTGTGCGACGTTTAGAGTCTACTTTAGTTAATTTAGCTCAAGCAGTGTCTGTGTGTGTATAGAGGCAGGAGGAATTGGTGTGGGAGCTGGCTGTTCATTCTGTATGTGACTTCACCAACTTTGACATACGTCCTATAAAGATTGATTTCCGAATTAAAAGGTTAACTCAGAAATCGGTTCCTACACAACTAAAATATATCTATATATATATATATATATATTTATATTTATATGTTCCTGTTGTTTAGAGCTTTGTATCTCCGTTCGTCAGGTAGTGTGACCACGCGAATGAACGTTGAATTGATGTGTGTAACTAAACTGACGTTCAACAGAAAGTACACACCTGATTCTTTGGTAAAATATTTTCTTGAAAACAGCATTAATATTTAAAAAGTGTTTTGATTCTGCATTGTCACAAACATTGTGCAAGTGTTTCCAAAACACCACAGATATTGTACCCAATTACAACATTGCTAGCAAAATATTTATGGTTTTATTGGGAATAGTCCCAAAACACCAGGTGTGTACCTTCATATGTACGTCAGTATAGCTGCTGTGTCCCGGCTGGACCAACAAGTTAGTTCCATATTCGCCAGGTGTTGCTGGAAGGCATCTTGTCTCATTACCGACATATACCGAAACACATCATGCAATGTGAGAAACAGCGTAAACCGAAATATACTCATTCCAATAATGGTTGTCACACCCTCCCCAAACCAACCCTACACACACCCCCACAATTCCCCACCGCACACCCCTCCAATAAAAGAAATTGTAGGGGCTGACAACCATTATTGGCATGAGTATAGTTCGGTATACATGATACGAATTTCGAGTCAACGCTATGACGCACATGTGCTGAATGAAGTCGCCTCTTGTACGTTAATGTACGTTCAGACAGAATATATTACAGACGAAGCTGTATGTCACGACTCCGAGCCTCCATCTTTCTGGCCTTCGTTCAGGAAACACAGACGTCCGACCATCCTGACTACCGATTAGGCGGCGGATATGTTAAATAATAATGTTTATGAAAAATCTTCCTCTACATCTTAGTCAGAACAAAAGCGTATCTATCTGTCTCCGTGCATATAATACGTGCATGGTAATTTAACAGTATGTTCATAGAATATTCAGCTATTGTATGTATAACATTATGCTTACCTATGGTTATTTCGGTCTTGAGTAAATATTTTAAAACGACCCCTACCAAATGTGTTTGCTTTTTTCATTTCTGTTGATTTGACTTTTAGGACAGAATTAAGACTGCCAGAACCCGTGAAAGAGTGAGTTTGGTTTTACTTATAACACTTTCAGTCACATTGAATTAGGATATATAGAAAGTAGAAGAAGTTTGAACAAAATCATTGAGTTTACAATTTCACGATCCTTTTAAGGAAAGATACAAGTTCCGAATGTCATAGTATATATCTGTGATCGTCTAGTTGGTTTTACTGTCCTTTGTCAACAGCTATTTAAATTGATTACCTTGTTTTCATCGCTATATGGCTGTAATATTGCCGATGCGATGTAAATTTTAACTCACTCAATCCCCGAATGTCATATTCGAATAATGTGCCTTTTAATAGTATTTGGGTCGGTACTATGCAATCTTTCATGTGTCTTTAGGACAACAGCTCGCCCCCAATAGCTGCAAAATTGAGATTTTAATCAATCAAGGCAATCGTGCACGATACACTTTATCAGCAGGACCGTTCATTGTAGCCACCTCATATTAGTCGTCCTGAAGCCAACCATGTGTATATGTATAGGTATACGTTTTCGGTGACGGGAGGATGAAACTCTCCTCTTAATCTGACTCATGAGAATTTAGCCAAACAAGCTTCTGGGATTCTTTTATTGGTCAGTCTGTCATACAGTGGCTGATGCTACGCCGACTTGTACAAATATAAAGATGGCGATTATCTATCTTCCGGTAAAGACAGGTCTAACACATCGTTG